TACTTCCTCAACACATCCTCATGCTAGACATCCGCCTGGGCGACCTGGGCGCGTGAAAACAAGCGTCTCGCTCACTGCATCCTCAGCAAATCCAATGCCAGGCATCTGCCTGGAGAACCTGGACGCGTGAAACCAAGCGTCTCGATCGATACTTCCTCAACACATCCTCATGCTAGCGATTTGCCCAGGCGACCTGGGCGCGTGCAAACAAGCGTCTCGCTCAATGCATCCCCAGCAAATCCACATGCTAGGCATCTGCCTGGGCAGCCTGGACGCGTGAAACCAAGCGTCTCGCTCGAGACATCCTCAAAACCAGGGCACGTGAAATCAAGCATGTGGTTACTCGAGAGATCCTCTGAATTTTGGTCCCCAGGATAGGACAAACTATAACACAAAACAAGCGTCTCGCTCGAGACGTCCTCAGCCGTTTATGCAAAACAAGCGTCTCGTTCGGGACATCCTCAAACGTACATTCGCCGGCCCTACGCGACCTGGCTATTTACCGCAAGTCATTTCGTCGGCCCTACAGCCATCCATTCCAGGGGGGACTCCCTGAAAGAGAACCCTGGGCACACGCCCTTTGCGGGGCAAATCTCTTGTCGTGACTTTTTCACAACGTGAGGAGGTCATGGGATGTTGCCTTGGATGTTGCCTGCCTAATCGGCTCCGCAATAAGCACGAGTGCGGAGCCGATGAAAATCGAGCCCCCCCATCCCCTGAGGTCTAGGGGGGGTCTCCTGCAAAACGGCGCGCAGCTGAAACATCAACCACTGCGCTCTGCGGAGGACGACGAGCACGTCGACGACACGCAGGATTTTGCCCTTGGGAGGGCGGGCGTGCGCGAGGGCGGCGAGGGGGTGCTGAGGCGCGGGGGCTGCTCTGGCCTGCGCGGCCTCCTCCACCACCTCCGGCGGGTCGTCATCGTCCTCGTCGTCGTCGTTGTCGTCGCCGTCGTCGCCGGCGTCGTCGCCGTCGTCGGCGTCGGCGTCGGCGTCGGCGCCGGCATCGGCGTCGTCGTCGCCCCATTCATCAGCTTGCTCGCCGCCCTCCTCCTCCTCCTCTTTGTTTCCCCGTCCTTCCTCCCTCCTCCCTCCTCCTCCTTCTCCTCCAACTCCTCCTCCTCACCTTCCTTCTCCTCCGCCTCCTCGTCTTCCTTCTCCTGCTCCTCCTACTGCTCCTCCTACTCCTCCTCCTCCATCTCTTCCCTCTCCTCCCGCTCCGCCTCCGCCCACCCTCGCCCCTCCTCACCCCTGTTTCCATCCCCTTCTCTCTTCCCTCCTTTTCCCTCCTCTTCCCTCCTTCTCAAGACGATCCGAGAGCCACCCCATGCAGTATAAGAGTCCTCCAATACGGCTCAAGCGCCCCTCGAGACGAAGAGTCTGAAGGCGCCCACGAAGTGTCCAAAAGGGTCCTGGAGTCCCCGTAGACGGCCATGGACGCGCCCGGGAGGCTCCCAAGAAAGCCTGAAGAACATCCGCGAGAATCCATGATAGATCAAGAGGCATCCCAGAAGTCATGCGTGGGTGCACCCAAATCGACTCTAACACACCCCAACCGGCGCCAAAAAGGAGCCAACATCCCCGAACGGCCCCCGATAATGCACAAGAGACCGCTTAGACTGCCGAATAGGGCCCCAAGAGGTTCCCAAGAGATGACTCCATCGAACAAATCCGCAACCCTGGATAACCCCTGGACTGCACAGGAGCCGACTATGACGGCCGAGCATGGCCCCAACATGCTGGCGACAGCCTCCCAACGATGATGCCACGCCGCGTGCGTCATGGTGTGGCTCATTTCCCCGTTCCTCCAGCTCCTCCTCCCCTCTTTCTTCTCACCAATATGTGGGGACATCGGGCCGTCTCATGTCACACATGACAGGACACCCTGCCGAGGAACTCAACCCCTGGCACCTGACATCGTGCGACGAGTTTCTCACTGAGGGCGACTGTGTGGGCCTGACCACGGGCGACATTCCCACCGACGGCTCCCTGCAGCTCGGCGACTACAGGTCGCTGAGGCGCGGGGGGGCTGGGGCTCCGTGGGCATCGACGACAAGTTTTGCTGTGGTGCGCGCGAGCTGCGGGCCAATGACAGGGCCCCCGTGCACGCAGATCCATCATGAGAAGTGAGCTGGGCGGCGTCCTGCAGACACAAAGACGTGCAACACCGCCGCTCCGCATCTTTACCGGCTGTGCTGGACGGGATCGGCACGGGGCCGGCCATCACGGACAGGAAGCACCAGGACTTGTGTGATCAGATCTGGACCGCCGTCGCCGAGCTCGGAGGTGTAGGCCCTCGCACAGTGACGTTCAGTGAAGTGAAGGCCTATGCGACGCGGGCCGAGAGAGATAGAATCGCTCGTGCGCGCCAGGAGGAAGTCGTAGTGTGCTGTCGTAATGCTGATAATTTCGCCAAACAGGGGGGCCATTTATAATACACATCTCGCGTGGTACAGAGAGGCCTACACAGAGACATCTGAGCTCGTTCCTGCTGTCCTCGAATTCGCCGCCTACGTGGGGATACTAGGCCGTGAGATCGTCGACACTGAGCTGGGCACGAGTCCTGCCGAAGACTCGAACCCCCCGAAACCCGCCCTGGTGACCCTGGACCTCCTTGGGACTCTGGGGACGCCAGAGGGAGGCACACGCGGTCCCCGGACCCACACCCCCTCCCTCCACCCGTGACGGACCCCCTCCCTTCTCGGGCCGCTCTGGAATGGGGAGCCGTCAAGGTCGACGAAGCGAGAAGAGCGGCGGGGCACACATGGATGCTCCGCCGAAATGTTGTTTTCTATCGCGGGTGTGCCAGGTGCAACTGCGACTTGTGGACGGGCGTATTTCCACACCCTGGGACCAACAGAACGATCGGGGGTCACCTACTGGCCAACGCGTGGGCTCTCTGGTTTCGACTCGGGGACGGCCAGACGTGCCCAAGAAACCCGCGGTAACAAATCCATGGGGCGACGCTAACCGTTTGACCAGTTCTAATCCAGCCCCCTCCCTGCTCGCTTTTCCCCTCCCACATCCCACTCCCCCTCCTCCTCCTCCGCCTGCTCCTCCGCCTCCTCCTCCTCCTCCTCCTCCTCCTCCTCCTCCCCCCTTCCATCCTACCACCTCCCCCTCTGAAACTATGACGGTTTCCCTTGCCTGCTGCCCCACTGCATGCTCCTCCGCATCCCTGATCAAAGCAACTCGCATGAGTATCGTTCCTGGATGGGCTGGTGGGGTTACGCGAAGCGTCTAAATTGTACGGCGCCCGCGCTCCCAAGGATACGACCCCTTGTAAATAAAGGCGCTTGCGCACTCCTGGGGGCACGCCTCCTTGTAAATTACGCTGCGCCCGCGCTCCCAAGGCCACGATCCCTTGCAACTTGCGCTGCGCACCCTCCCCCAAGGACACGAGCCCGTGTAAATTGCGTTGCGTCCCCGACCCAGGGCCACGATCCCTGGTGAACTACGCGGCGTCCGCGTTCCCAGGACCAGGAGCCCGCAATACTCTCTGTCCGTCTCCCCAAGGTAAGGGTCCATCGAACATAACGGTGCGTCCGCGTCCCCAAGGCCACGATTCCTTATAAGTTAAACGGCGTCCGCGCTCCAAGGGCCAGCATCCTTTGTAAATTACAAGGCGTCCGCGCTCAAATGGCCATGATCCCTGGTAACTGATGTGTTTCCACACTCCCAGAACCCCTTTGGCATCCTGGAGCGCCCAGGCCCTTCAAGCGCTGCAACACAATCAATACGCTAAAGACATCATCGAGGATACTGCCTGCACGACGCGCCATCCTCGAGCAGGCGCGCAGACAACAACATGTTTACTGTTTCATCTACTTGTGCATACATGTGTGTATACATATATATATATATATATATATATATAACTGATGAAATCCGTGCTCCCAGACATCATTATTTCTCTCGGACTCTACCCAAACGCTCCGCACCTCATTTCTGACTCACGAAAGCGGGTATGTGCGGACATCGTTACTTGTAAAGGTTCTGACCGTGTCCGAGCGGGCACGCAAGACACGCATGATTATTTACACGAGATGCGGATGTACCACGTTTTTTCCGATCGAGGGGACATCCGCCGCCCCTGCGCAAGATGAGACCCAGGGATAACACTACACGCCGGTCGGAAGAAGTAGGTAGAAGCATGAAGTAGGAAGGCGGATAAAGTAGATTGGGTCCAGGTCCTCCCAGATAATTACAAAACACAGCAAAAGCATGTCGATTCTTGAAGTAGGACGGCGCTTGAAGTAGATTGGGATCTGGGAATCCAAAAAGAGCTACTTTCAACGACCGGCGTGTACCCACTGGACAAAACCCTGGGCCCGGTCCTTTCCCGGGAGAACAACGCATACGAGTGCGTAGCAAGTACAAGCAGCGCGCAGGCGTAGGCACGAGCCCTGGACGACGAATGGTGCACTCTTGTTTCCTCTGCCGCCCGCGGACGGCGCCTGCCTGGCGGGCGCCAGGCCCCCTCCCTCCCCCGCGGGTGCGTGGGGGGAGGGCGCCTGCCGCCCGTGGGGGAACTGCCGCCCGCGGAAATCCGGCACCCTTCTGCGTGTTTTGTCCTGGCTCCCCAGTCTTGACGGGCCTGGAGATTGGCACCAACACCAACGCGGGGGGATTGCCTCCACAGGGGGGATGTGATCCGAGATTTCGATGCTGGTGGCAATATTTCGGTCACCTTGGAAGCCAGAATATTACCACCATCATCGAGATCGGGATCTTCCTCCCTCTGTAGAGGCACGCCGCCGATATTGGTGTTGGTGTCAATCTCTAGGCCTGCGAAGTCTTCCACCGACACCCGGCGTCGTGACACATCACGCCGCATTGAACAATCGTTCCTGGACTCCCCGGCTCGACGTCGACCCCACCTCTGGGAGCCGGCCATCGATCCGGATCGATCCGCGCGGATGTCCATCGTGACGTTGTCACAACGCCTGAACCTGCATGAGGCTCCCCGGCTCGTCCAGCTCCCCCCCGCGGCGCTGGGGCCTCCTCCAGAGGCCTCTTGCCGTCGAAATTCGCCAGCACGTGCCTGCCAGCGCTGCCGCGTGGGCTTCCACACTCGGCGCCCTCCCGCCGTCACCGCTGCCGCCTCCGCCTCCTTTCTCCTACCTCTGCCCTCCTTTTCTCTCCTCCCTCCTCCTCCTGCTCCTCCTCTTCCTCCCTCCTCCTCCTCCTCCTGCTCCTTTTGCTCCTCCTCCTATTCCTCCTGCTCCTCTCGCTCCTCCTCCTCCTGTTCCTATTCCTCCTCCTCCTCCTCCTCTTCCTCCTCCTCCTCCTCTTCCTCGGCCTCCTTATCTCCGCCTCCTCCTCCTTATCTCCGCCTCCTCCTCCTGTTCCTCCTCCTCCTCTTCCTCCTCCTGCTCGTCGTCGATGTCTTTCAGGGTCGGCGGCACCGGCCGTCAGGCTTTCACAATGGAACATCGTCCAAACACGTGCTCAACAATAACCAAACGAGTGTCGAACCATCGCCCCCTGACTCTATGTGTTTGCCTCCTTTTTGAAAAAACCTCCTGTGTGGAGGGGCGCGCGCCCGACTCGATGCTACCAGGCGTTTCCCTCTGCTGATGGTGCCTGCTGCCCCCTCCGTGGTGGTCTGCGGCCCTCTGCTCACGCACACAAGCGCCGGCATTTGTCGCAAACTCCTGCCTCGCGCGACCCCGGGGCGCCCTTGGCCGCCGCGCGGCCGCAGAGGCTTGCGCACGACGCTCGGGGTCAGGTCGGGCGTGTCATCCCACAGGCGGATTTTGGACGAAAGCCAACAACTACAAAAACAATAAACACACACAGTCACACATAAAACAACAACTAGCCAAACATACCATTCGCAAATCGTAGCCAGACAATGTTTGATTATTGCTGCATCTTCCTCCCGTAGAGGGACAGGCCCGACTTCACGTTTGGGGCACGAGGAGCCGCGGGAACTCCTGGAGGGGGGGCTGGGGTGGTGCGAAAGCCCACCACTACTGCAACGTTGTTTCCTGCCCAAATCCGTCGCCCCCAATCCCGAGTTCCAGTCGCTGGAAACCCCTGTGCTGCGGTACCCCTGGTCGCGCAGGCAGGACTGCGCGTTTTCAAGGATCTGCGGCGTGCCGCGACAACGTTTCCGCTGCGTTTTTTTGGGTGCTTTTGCGGATGGACATCCCAAGCTCTCCGCCGCCTCTGGCGGCGCGCGCTGCGAGCAAAAACGCAGCGAAGTTACAGGAAAGCGCGGCATTGGTAGGAGCCAGAAAAAACACACAAGGCAATTTCACACAAAAGGTTTTGGCACCACCAACGGTGCAACGCATGTGCACACATGCGACGGGATCCCCAGCGATCCGAACCAGGGTTGATGCACGGCCGCGCTACAGGATGCAGTTGACATGTATGGTGTGGCAAGGCGGTCGTCGGCGATAAAATCCCAAGGTCCGTTACCAACAAACATCCCATGGCGGTTTGGCACAGCCAAACCACCGTGCAACGTCAATCTGTTCATCCGTTGACAGCAGCACGCGTCGCGGCAGCAAAACGCAGTAGCGCGCGCGGGCATGCAGGGCCGGCGATGTGGCTGGCCAGCTGACAGCGCGATTTCGGTAGAAGAACCGAAATCCACGCAGGATCGTTTTGGGCGTGGCATCCGGCGCAGCTGCATCGCACTGCCAGGCGCCGCGGCCTTGTGATTGTAGCGCCAGGCCCCGTGCGCTCCTTGCGGCGGGAAAGCAAGCTCTACACAAAGAAATCGCGCGTGCTCTTGTGGGGGCGTCGAAAGCAATCGTACACAAAGGAAACTCATGTGTGCGCCCCCCGCATTGGCAGTGTAACCAGACAGTGCGCAAAAGGAATTACACGAGACTTCGTGGTACACAGAAGGAAATACAGCAACGCCCTTGGGGTTGCGCTCTTCGCGCGCGGTGACAGCACCGAGCTGGAAAGGAAGGGAGGGCGGGACAAGGCAAAGCAGGGGAAGAGGACAAAAAAGAGGAGGGCGAGAAAGAAGCGAAGGAAGCAACGGAAGGAAGCCAGGATGCGCGCAAGCGAAGCTAACCTTGCGCGCTGAGACAGTTGTTCGTTCGTTCGGTTGGCCGCGCGGCAGATGAATAGAAAAAGAACTGTTTGCTGCCTATCGAAGGGACTTCTTGGGAATGAGACTCGCGCTCTCTTCCCAACCCCCCTTTCCCACACCCCGTTGCGAGCGCGCGACGATTTGTTCTGGCCCGCGGGCAGAGGACTGCCAGTTGCTGGTGAGCGGCCTTTCCACCCGTCACGCGTTCCGAACACATGCGACCAACTAAACGCACTTGCCACGCAAACCGCCAGCTCCAAAGACCGACGCCACACAGATCCCCGCATCCGTGCCAGGCACCCTCTCAACGACGCCCCCTCTCAGGCGTAAAACAATAAAACCCTTTGTGTTGATGTGTTTTTTTTCTCTTCTGAATTGACAGAGTAGCTCCGCACACGTGACACATGTTCACGAGCAAGATCGCGGCAGAGCCCCATGAGAGCGAGGCACTGACAGTGCAGCTCAACCTTGACACAGCAGTGGCCCGGGAAGCCCCGCGACATGTCCGCGAACGTTGCTCCACCCCGCCCCTCCGCCGACGGCTTGGAAGCGACTTTGGCGGGAGGAAGAGGAGGAGGGGGGGGAGGAGGAGGAGGAGGAGGAGGAGGAGGAGGAGGAGGAGGAGGATGAGGATGAGGAGGAGGAGGAGGAGGAAGAGGAGGAGGAGGGAGGAGAGAGGAGGAGGAGGAGGAGGGAGGAGGAGGAGGAGATGGAAGAAAGGAGCAGGGGAGGGGGAGGGGAGGAGGAGGAGGAGGAGGAGGAGGAGGAGGAGGAGGAGGAGGAGGAGGAGGAGGAGGAGGAGGTGGATGTGGACAGAGGACGCGCTCATGGTACCCATCTCCGCAGCAGCCGTTTCGGGAGCACGCCCCGCCCCATCCCGTGCGCCGCCCTCGCCGAGGGAGGCCGCCGCGCGCCCCGCCCCCTCCCCCGGCGCGCCTCAGGTCCTTGTGCCCCAGCGTCCGCAGCACCCTCTCCGCGGAGATGTCCAGCTTCCACCGGTGCCTGAAGCAGGACACGTAGTCCAGCGGGCCTCCTCGGGCGCAGGCTCCCCCGACGGCATGGCTTTTGCGCATGACGTCGGCCCCCGCAGCCTCGGCGCACTCCCCAGGAACAAGTTCTTCGTCCCGGATCGTGCCTGCACAATCCAGAGGCCTGGCAAAGGGCCCCCGAACGCCGAAAAAAACGAAAACCTCCCGTCAAGATTTGCTCATGACCCAAGGGGCTCTGGTAGGAGGAGCAGGACGAGGAGGGAGAAGAGGCCGACGACGGCGACGGCGGCGCTGGCGAGGGCGGCGGGGGCAGCGCTGGCGGGAGGACGGAGGATGCAGGGAGGTTTTCGAGCGCTCCCTGGAGTTCTGGGACAGGCTCTGGGAGTTCAAGGGTGCTGGGTGGGCGTCTTGGGGCTATCTGGGAGGCGTCTTGCCCTAGGGGTCGACGACGGCAACGACGACGACGACGACGACGACGACGACGACGACGACGACGACGACGACGACGACGACGACGACTACGAGAGATCTAAGTTCCAGGAGTTCGAGGGCGCTGGGGGGTCGTCCGTGTCCTCCTCCTCGTCCTTCCCAGCCCTCTGCTAGCTCTCCTTCTCCTCCTCCACGATGAGGAAGGGGCAGAGCCAAACGGGATTGTTGTAGGATCGTCGCGTCTCTAACACAACCTGACTCTCCAACACCACCTCACAACGCTCAGACTAGAGCCCGACCTCACTGGTTGGGGTGCCAGCCTGGAATAACATATTGGAATATCTCACAGACAGCAATTCCCAATCGCGGTTGTCAATGGCATTGGCGTTGGGCATTCAAACGCAGGAGAGCTGGAGATCTGTGATCATGCAAAACGAACCTTCAAGCAACCTTAGCTTGTAGCCACATCTGGCTGGCCAATGGCCATCCCGCAAATAATCCTCCACTGCTGCGTTCCAAGAAGGAAACGACGGCGCGACCGTGGCAAGTAGTTCAGGTCCTAGCTCAGCTTCAGCCCGCCAGCTCTCGAAGGGTCTCACCCTGAAGCGCTCCGAAATGCAACCCTGGAACGCCAGGAGTGTACATTAATGTTTCTCTTACTATTTGGGATCCCCTCTTGTTTTGTGCCGCGCCGCTTCCACCAGGGCATTGTCGAGCGGGGCCTCGCGGGCCCACCAGCGGGGCGGCTGAGCCCCATTGAACTCACCGCCCCGTGTTGCCTCTCGCCAGCGCCGCCAGCACCGCGCGGCCGAGCATCTCCCAGGGCGAGGTCAGGCCGAACGAGGCCTATGGCCCCAGGACTCCTCCGCGGAAAACCAGGGCCCCTCGAAACGGCCGCCAGCGGCCACCAGGAAAACCCGGGCGCCACGATGAGGCAAGACGAGGCCGAGAGGACCCAAGAGCTCTTCCCCCTCAAAAGGGTGGCCCGAGGGTGGGAAACAAAAAGCCTGCGGCGAGGCGGCATCGCGGCGCACGCACAGGAGAGAGGGACCCCATAGGAGAAACAATCAACATGTTCTAACATGAGTTTCTGTTTCTCATACTATTTGGGATCCCCTCTTGTTTTGTGCCACGCCGCTTCCACCAGGGTATTGTCGAGCGGGGCCTCGCGGGCCCACCAGCGGGGCGGCTGAGCCCCATTGAACAAACCGCCCCGTGTTGCCTCTCGCCAGCGCCGCCAGCACCGCGCGGCCGAGCTTCCCCCAGGGCGAGGTCAGGCCGAACGAGGCCTATGGCCCCAGGACTCCTCCGCGGAAAACCAGGGCCCCCTCGAAACGGCCGCCAGCGGCCACCAGGAAAACCCGGGCGCCACGATGAGGCAAGACGAGGCCGAGAGGACCCAAGAGCTCTTCCACGTCTCCCTACCTGGTGCACCGCCTTGAAACCACCGCAGTGGGGGAAACCACATCGTAGGCCAGCAAGCTCCCACGAAACCTCCATCTTTCGAGGGTTGATTGCGAAACGCGCAATTCTGAGAGAGCCTGCTGGCCTTCTGTAAGGTATATACGAGCCGTCGCCGTGTCTTGCCAACGCCCTCTCTAGAGTGGCAGGCATATTACGAGTGCGACGGAAGAACGATGTGCCCCCCCCCCCCCCTCTTCTTAGACTGTATGGCTTGAATTGAAATTGCTGGCAACCGATAGCAGCACACAGCTGCTCAAATATACGTCTGAAATCACCAATTGAAGATGACAATATCAGTTGGTCTGGCGGAACATGTCGTAATATGTACGATATCAGCTGTGTCACCGAGGCATCCTCAATCACGACTGTCTCCTGTCGATGAAATCGCAGGCCACTTTTTGTGATTGGCAGCACTACAACTATTCTGGCGCGAGCCTCGTCGATGGCGACTTGCCAGCGTCGCAAGGTCAGCATCTCGGTGGTCCTCAGGAAGGCCGCGAAGCCGAGGACCAGCAGCGCCGCGACGTCGTTGCAGCCCCAGCCACGCGCGGTGGCAGCCAGCGCCTTCAACACGATGTCAGGCATCGGAAGCACTCGCTGCGGCAGCTCTAGTCTCTGCCAAGCACGAAGTAGCCTCCATGACGCTAGCAGGATGCGCTTCTTGCGCAAAAAGAACTGGACGGCTGACACAGTGTTCCCTGCCAAGCCCTGAGGATGCCCTTCGGTCCAGAGCCACTCGATCCAGTCGGCCACCAGCAGATCCAGTTGATCAATGTGGTCGGCGCCCCCAGACCAAGAAAGCCCTCTCATAGTAACCCAATCTGAAAAGTGTCTCACCGCATTCTGATATACCTCCAGGGTCCGTGGCTGCACCAGATTGCGTGATAGGCGACCCACCACGGCCCGAAGCTAACGACGCGTAGCCTGATCCTGCGCTGCTCTGACTCTGTGTTGAACTCGACCTGGCATGAAGTCAACTAGGAGCCGCAGCCGCTACCCTCGACGGGTTGTCCGCGGGGTTGCGGCCAGTCTCCGTGTAGCCATGCACGGGGCGGGCAAGAGCAGCCAAGATCAAGGCACCAATGCGTCGAACGGTAACATGCAGCAGGTGAGATGATGATCGGCCTCTGGCAATGACTCCGAGACCAGCTTGAGAATCCATCAGATGACAAAAGCGGGTGCGTAAATGTTGAGAGGATCTGACGCGCCATCGCATGGCTCCCAGAGTGGCTCTCGCCTCAAGGTCCGTGATGTGGGACGGGTGCTTCCAGTCCCAGATGGCGGTGGCCTTCCATGACCAGCGTTCCACACTGACTGGTCGCCTGGGCCACAGATCAGGCCGCGTCGCCTCGAACGTGTCAAGCCTGATGTCGCTGCCTCTGGCCTCGGCACGGCGGGCCAGCTCTTCCACGATGATGATGCTGGGGTCCAGCGCGGCATCCTCACTCTCGAGATCGTGCTGGCGCACCAAGACACCGTCGTCGCAATCCATCTGGTCCATGCTGACTGTGGCATCGGCGATGGTGGCGCCACCTCCAGTCTCACGCATCTGCCTGACGGAGGGGATCTCGGTCAGGTAGCCTGCTCTCTGAGCCCAGTGGGCCAGCACCCAGGCGACAACCACACACTGAAAGCTGTTCCCAAGCAGAGCGCACCGGCAACACTCCAGATCAGCTTTCTCAAGCTTGCGCGCTCTAGTCACTCGCGCCGTGATCGTGTGCCCTGGAAGGAAGTCGAGCAGCAGCTCTCTCTCGACACTCGAGGGGGGCCTTCGGCTGCCGTCAGGCTCCTCGATGCAGTTGATGTCCTGGAACTGGTAGGGCGCGTAGCAATAGTTGAACCTGCGCCAACGCTCGACTTCATGACTTGCACACTTGTCGAGACCTGACGGGAATTGACCTGGAGCACGGCGAGGAACACAGCGCAGGAAGTTGGGCAGGCGGAAGTCCTCCTGAACGCCACCCTGCCACTGAAGCCCAGCGGCCAGCCAGCGTTCAACTGGGCCGGGCCCGTCCGGGATCACGACGTGCTTCACCGAGTCCATGACAAACGACTCGCCCTGCCACGGCGTCAGCAGCTCCTCCTTGATCCAATACAAGCGATCACGCTGGCAGTGTGTGGCATCACCCGCTGAGATGCACACAGGTTCGCATTCCAGGGAATGTGACATCAACTGTCGCGGTTCTGAGTCCATTGAGGCCACGTTCTCAACCAGGGACAGCACCGTGCAGAAATCACCCAGCGCCTCGCGCAGAAAAGACACAATGCGACTTATCTCGTAGAACAGACTTGACCGTCTCCCTTGAAGGCCAATGCGCTCAGCGTTGATGCGGGCCAGGTCGCTGCAAGGGCTACCGGCCACCACTAGGGTCCATTTCACATGCGGAACTCGTTCACGGATGGCCACCGCCTCGGCGAACCCACAAGAGCAGACGTCGCCGACTTCCAGCACGTCCGGCCATGCATACTTGGTCACTCGCTTCGCCTCGGCGTCGATCTCGGCGGACACGAACAGCGCGGGAGTGAGCCCCAACAGGCCCAGGGCGCGGCGAGCCCCACCAATGCCGTCGAACAATGACAGGAGCACCACCTCGTCGCGGAAGTCAGTCACCAGCCTTCGGCTGGCCGCTCTCGCAGCGGCCACTCCATCAGGCCGAATGCGAACAGCTCGACACACGGCTCCACGCTGCATGCTGGCATCCGAGACCGTCACCAGCCCGCTGATCGGCACGCGCAGGTCACAGCGAAGTAAAGGGAGCAACGTCAAGGCCGACACCAGCTCCTCGCGTACCTTACGCGGCACCTTCGCATCACCACGCAACTTCACCAAGAATCGCCACGAGTGAGTGAAGCACATCATCGCCTCGCGCCTGAACAGGAGGCACCGAACCCATCGGCCCGCCAGGATCTGCATCCACTTCTGAGTCACTGTGGGCCTTTGCAGGGTCGCCAGGGTGAGGGAGATCAGTCGTCGCACGAACTCTGCGGGCGGCCCGATGGTGCCGCGCTCCCCATCAATCGCCTCCCCGAGGGACTGCGTCGTGGTCTCGCGGATGACGGCCTTGTTCTCGCTTCTTGGCACGTTGAAGTGATCATGCCTCCGACGGGCCAGATCGACCGCCTCGCTGATCCCCTCCTCCTGCAGGGACTT